GGAAAAAACCATATACCAGGTCTATTCCTGCAACGAAGGGGCATTTTGGTAAATTTGTTGAACGACTTAAGAAGAAGAAGAGTCAGATCTACTCGAAACTTGTTCTTCTGATCATTACTCTCTCGAGGAAGACGAGTCGATGGGGCAAAATCACGACGTCGGTTCTAGAATCAAAGTCGGAAGAGAGATCGGCTCTTTCGATTCCTTACCGGAGGATTGCATCTCCAACATAATCTCATTCACAAATCCACGAGACGCTTGCATCGTCGCTTTGGTTTCGAATACTTTCAATTCGGCGGCGAAATCAGATATAATTTGGGACAAGTTTATCCCGCCGGAATATCCATCTCTGATTCCTCCGTCGCGAGTTTTCCCGTCGAAGAAAGAGCTCTATTTCACTCTATGCGATGATCCTCTCCTAATCGAACATGGCAAAAAGGTAAATTAACATTATCAAATTGAAATTCCTGTATAGAATCATCAAAGTTTATGATTTGGAAGTTCTAATTCATGTTTCTTGTAAAATGAAAGAGCTTGTGGTTAGAGAAAGCAAGTGGGAGCAAGTGTATCATGTTATCTGCAATGAGCCTCTCGATCATATGGGGAGATAGTCCTATGTATTGGCAATGGATTCAAATTCCTGAAGCTAGGTAGTGTAGTAACTTCATTTCTCGGTTGTAACTAATGACGTTTTATTGAATGATGATGATAATGCTGAAAAATGTTGATGACATTGAGTTATATGCAGGTTTGAATTAGTTGCAAAGCTTATCGATGTATGTTGGTTTGAGATTCGTGGTAGAATGGATACTCGTGTTCTTTCTTCAAGAACTCGTTACTCGGCTTACATTGTGTTCAAGGAAGCTAATCGATGTAACGGGTTTGAGGATGTGGCAATAGAAGCTCGAGTTGGAGTTGTGGGACAGGAAGCTACTAGAAGATTTATATGTTTTGATTCGGCTACGGGTGGGCAGAATCAAAGGAGAAGGAGGGGAAGGAGGAACTTGGTGAAACCCGAGGAGAGGGAAGATGGGTGGATGGAGATTGAGCTCGGGGAATTCTTCATTGAAGGAGGATTAACGAATTGTGATGAAATTGAGATGAGTGTTTTAGAGACTAAGCAACTCCATTGGAAGAGTGGCTTGATCATTCACGGAATTGAAATCCGGCCTTCGAAAATCCAGTAGAGTAATGCCGAGAACACTGGTTTTTTACTCGATCGATCATCTATTGGTATCATTGTCAATTCATGGTTATGTGTGAGTTATTATATATAATGAGCTACACAACTTCGCTAAAAGTTCAGCTTTAGAGTGGTATATGTAAACCGGTTTTTCTCTTTTACTATTGAAGAACGGTTCGATGATTCCGGTTAGATTTTGGTATGAGTGTAATGTCTAAGCATAAACATCTTGTAACCTGAATTAATAAGTTTGTGGATTGTAATGTTTGTGAATTTTGGTTTTTTATTTTATTTTAATGTTCATCATTCTCGCATGAAGGAATAGTAAAAGAAGAACACCTTTTTTTTTTTAATTATCTACAAACACCTTAAATCCTCCTAGATTATTGTTGTCTCGTCTAGAGAATCTTGAGTCTCTCTGCACTACAACTTAAATCGACATCGAAATCTATGGAAGATTCTCAATGAAATGATCTAGGAGATTACGCTTTACTTTGTTTTTATGGATTTTCTTACAATAATTTTTGTTATTGGATATGTTGAGCGGTCTCTTGCAGTTGCTTATAACCCCTTATTTGGTGCATTTCACCTTTTACTAACTTTAGCTATCTCCAATTAATTATGAGTGGTTCAATTTTACATTTTTTACTCACTCATCATAAAAATTAATAAAATTTGTAGTTTATAGGGCTTTTTCCTCTCACTCGTTGTTTACCAGTCCATTATTTAGGGAAATGTCAAAACTCAAAAGTATGTTATTAGGGAAATGTCAAAACTCAAAAGTATGTTATGTTTCTTAGGGTTGTGCATTTGAGAGAGACCATTATCCTAAATAACCTCCATTACCCTTCAACTTTTTTTTTTTTTTTTGATAAACATCAAATTTATTGTTCCTCAGAAAACAAAACATTTTCTTAGAGTTCCGATGCTATATATAGTTTCTCGTCAAATCACCATCTTATAATTTTGGATACCTTTTGTCGAAATTGCAATATTTCTTCCACGACTAAATATGACAACTTAGATTACTATGATAGAGAAAGAAAATTTTGAGGGCGACTCTTTTTCTACACGAAAAGAATTTGATTGAACAAAATATATTTTAATAATTTCTAATACATTTTAAGATATATTTCACTATTTCTTTAATCTGTAGTGATTAAATTTATGGTTTTGAGGGGTTTTTAATTTGTTTTTTATAGCTTATTTTGATTGGTAACATCTACGTAATTGTTGTAAGATACTAATAATAAGATACTCTAACTTGTATTTAGAAATGATCACCTAAATGGTAATACATTGGAAGTAAACCAATACAGAATAATGAAAATGTTTTAGATCATCACAACAAACACGATCATATCATGTAACATATAATGTTGGAGAAGCAATAGTTCTTCCTCATGCTTACCCTTTAACTCAGCGAATCTTTGTTCTTGAGTTAGACCTTAGGTTCAGAATTCTTACGAACCTTCTTCACTTTGCCCTCAAGAACACCGAACTCAAGTTTACCACTAAATTCCTCGTTGTTGACAGGACCCGGAAGCTTGAATGAGATGGTGAAAGGACCTGGAGGGCCCAAGTTCTGTGTTAGCATCTTGAAGACCTGTGAGTGCCTACACACTGTCTCCTCTCCCGTTGTTGTTGTTCCTTTTATCACAATCAACCCATCATCCCCAATGTCGCATTTGAATTCATCTGTATGTTGGACAAAAACATTTCAGATTCATAAAGAACACAAGATACCTATTCTTTAGAGTACTTTGCAATGATTGTGTAAACAAGCTAATCAAGGTTACCAAATCCTCAAAATCCCAACTACATATTATCCATCTTTTTATTGCGAGATTAACTCAAAACCAATAGACAATGAGTACATAGACTAATATCCCTTATTTACTGGTGTTAGATTATCTTATATGTGATCGAAAAGAATAACTCTAAATGTAGTTGCTGTTTATGATTACCATTTAACCATAATAAGAAGTCAACATTTTACCAGATAGTGAGTATTTCAGCTCACTAAGTTGTCTTGTAAAATGTTTTAACTTTGCATAAAAAATAGCAAAGGCATGAAATGATAGGAAACTTACTTTCCTCTCTTGAAACACCAGGTAGCGAAACACGGAAAAAGTAGGAGTCATCAGATTCGAAAATATCCATCCGACCAATGGTCGGTCCAATCGGCCCCATAGCCGCACTTCCCGTGAGGACAACTCCATTATTGGTTTGAGCAGCAAGGTCTTTAATTTCTTGACTTGAATGATTAGGCAGAAATGTCATGGCAGGCTCTGATTTTTCCGCATTGCCCTTAGATTTGTTGGTTGATATGGAAGGAGTAGAGTTTGATGGACCGAGATAGGGCTCACTGTTTAACGGAGCCACGAAAAGGTCTGGCTGGTTAATGTTACTGGTTCCAGGTAAACCATGGTTGCCAATCTTCTCACTGTTCCCACTTGAAGACGTGGAAATATAATAACGGTTTGTTAGGTTCAATAAATTAGTGAATCTTAAAACCATAAAAACGGATAATATATACATAGGCTTTGAAATAATGGTGACAATTAGCTTCATGAACAAAAAAACATAGATATCGAGCCCATCAGGGCTCTTATGTGAAAGCCTATCTTTAAAATGTTTTATGATGCATAAAAAAAACCACTTCATCGTAACAAACACAAGCAATGCATATATTTTTTTATATATATATGGCATGTACTTGATCATATATATGATACTTTTTTCAAAACAAATAATAATTTTAAAAACAGCATACGCTCTCACCATTTTCATAAACTAACAGACTATCAAACTATTACCAAAGAATATCATGATTCTTCCATGGCCTCAAATTAAGTTGTGCACAAGGGTTTTGCTAATAAATGAAAATTTTGGACACAAAATCTATGTTATCAAAGAAACCACACATTGATAACACAGGCAATGCAATATTGAGACCACTTCATCGTAACGAACACAAACAATGCAATATTGTCAGAAACCATAAACGTAACATATGGTAAGAGATATAGACAGTGCTACTTTCTTCAAAACAGATGATAATTTTTAAAACAACGTTTTCACCATTTGCAATAGACTACATCCATCCAAAACCATGAAACTATTAGCAAATAATATCATATGAATCTTCCAAGGTCTCAAATGAAATTGTGAAAAAATGAAACCTTGTTCGTTAATCAAAACCCTTTATTTTGTAAACATCAAATCTGCGTAACCAACAAAAACTCCTAGACACTTGATTAATCAAAGCTTAAACATTTTTTTCAGAATTCAAATCAAGCAAGGAAATTTCATTAATCATCCAAATCATTTCGATAAGAATCTCTATTCATCCACGCAAAAGCCTAAGAAAATTATAATATCACCAACTTTTAATTGCATGTTTCCAAAACATAAGATTATGTAGCGATATTGTTATAAGAGTAGCAAATAAAACCTCATATCGAAAACGCCGTTGTAGGAGTCACCAGTTGTTTCTACCACCAGAAATATCGGACGAGTTTTCCTGGCGTTGTTTTATGTGAGAACAAGATAAGACAGTAAAAGAAGATATCAAAAGTTGCCTATTGGTTTTTTTTTTTTTTGGTCAACCAAATTTTAATTAAAATATTCCACCATAATTGGTAATCCAATTGGCCGGAAAATGTTTACAAAAGAAAAAGCCCATTGGTTCTTTTTACAAAACAAAACAAAAAACTTGATTTTTTTTAAGTCTTACTACTAAGAGAGCAAAACTGAGATTTTGTGGGTGATTGGTTGGACTCTAGCTGAATATTAATTATTGTTGTAGAAATTTTGATGCAAGTGCGTTGGCAGCTGTAAATTTTTTGCTGTAAGTATATTGGCTATAGCTATAAATCTTTTAAAATAAAAGCATGATTGGTATAAGATATGTGTTGTATTTTTTCTGAAAATAAATATGTTTTGTAATAGTATACAAATATAGAGTTTATAGAAATTTTGTTATTTTCAATGGAATAATAATGAATCTCTAATTTTTTTAATGGACATAACTTACAAAATTTTTTAAAAGCGTCATTATAAAATCAAATAACTGCAATAAATATATCTGAAATAGAAAAAAATACTTCGATGATTGACAAATAATTCATAATAAATTTGATTTTACATATTCCATATATTTATTGCAATCTTATTTTAGAATCCTTTCTTATATTTGTTCTTTCTTCTTTCAATGATTTTTTTATGAGTTGTTAACTAAATATAAATAATAAAATGTCTATACTTTTTTTTTTCAAAATTATTAAATATTTGTGTGGTTTTTTAAAAAAAAATAACAACCCTTATAGCCTAATATACAGGGTTGTATGATTTTTACATGTTACATTCAACAAAACTGGTTTTTTAGAGAATTAAAGCTAAATCATGATTGGTAAAGAAAGTCGTAGGTTTTAAATCTAAGAATTAAAGCTAGAACATGATTAGTAAAGATATAAGGCTTTAGAAAAAATTAAGACTTTATATCACACTTAAAGCCATGTAATTGCCTACCTGACTTGACTTGATAATTTTGTTATTTTACTTTTGCTAAAAAGCTTTATAATTTTGGTAGTTTGGAATATTTCTTCCAAACCAAATCCACAACCAACGTATCCTGAGATTATGACCAAAAGCAGGAAGAGTGAATGAGTTTGGTTCGGTTTTGGTTTGCATTTCTTTCTAATTTTGAATGTTGGATCCATTTTTTCTCAGAAAAAAAAAGGTTGAATCCAGTTAAACTGTATTTCTGAATTGATTATTTTTATCGAGTTAATCCAGTTAATGTGAAAAAGAAAACAAAACATGAACCTAAACCGAATCAGTTTTAAAAAATTGTTTATCGTCGGCTTGTTAGATTCTTCTTCATTCTTCCGCCGGAATATCCATCTCTGATTCCTTGTCGCGAATTTTATCATCGGCTAAGGCATATCACCACAAAATTTTACCGCCGAACAAATACAACTTCAGGTACCTAACCGTTTTTTACTTTACAAATTATGCAATCTAACACTTGCGTATATTTGAGCAATTAAAAAGTTACATATTGGTGAAAAAGAACGATATGTTTATTGTCATACTAATCAAAAATACTAAGAGTTATGATTTGTGAATTATACTAACAAAAGTCGGTATTCCCATACATGATTGATAAGTTTACATAATGTGAATACAAATCAAAAGCTTGAATAGTAGGTGTGTGAAAACAAGATAAATTTATACTAACAAAAGTTGGTTTGTTTTCACAATTATGTACTTTGCATTCATGTCTCTAAATTAATTCAACAATCTAAAATTACAATAGTGAAAGATGGAAAATCCTACTAAAAGAATAACACTATTAAAAAGCATGTATAATTCACATTCACGGTCAAATTAATCAAAAGCTTAAGTGCTAAATTTGCATTATAA